ACCACTGTCCACTGCAAAAAGAAGCTTCTCTGATGAAGGTTGCATGGTGTAGTTTTATTTCAGTGGACACAAGCTAGAGTCACTGGCGAAGAGGGAGCCTCAATTGGGAAAATGTCTCATAAGATCCCGCTGTAGGGCATTTTCTTAATTAGTGATCAGTGCGGGGAGGGCCCTGCCCATTGTGGGTAGTGCCATCCTTGGGCTGGTAGTCCTGGGTTCTATAAGAAAGCAGGTTGAACAAGCCATGATGAGCAAACCAGTAAACAGCTCCCCTCCATTGCCTCTGTGTCAGGTCCTGCCTCCAGGTTCCTGCCCTTTCTGAGTTCCTGTCTTGGCTTCTTTCAGTGATGGACTACAATGTGGGAGTATAAGCCAAATAAACTCTTTCCTCCCCAACTACTTTTTGGGCATGGTGTTCATCACAGCAATAGAAACTCTAACTGAAACATATGGATATATAAAGATAAGCACTTAGAAGGCAGTTGGATACTAAACTATATTATTAGCAAAATAATAGAAGTTTCTCTTTTAGGACCTATAGATACCCATGGGTTCTTGGTCAGATTTACAGTACCAGGCATAAGTTCTCTCCTGTGGAGTAGGCCTTAAATTCAATCAGAAATAGGCTGGTTACCTCATAACATCCTTACCACTACTGTACCAATGGGCATATCTTGCCAGGACAGTTATTATTGTAGCTTAGTGTTCACAGCTGGATAAGACTGTTTAGACTTTTCCCCCAGCAAGCCCTAGTGATTGTTAATAATGATAGCCTGTGCTATGGCTGTCAACATCTTTATCTGATGAGATGGGGAAGTCTCAGGAGACAGTCAAGGGATATTATTTGATTCCATTATGCAGGGTCATCTAACCTGAGACTCACTCTATTCTTTGTACAATATGTGCTCTAACCATTCTAAACTGATTTAACGGGAGCCTGTGGTTTTGCAGGCAATTGCTCCTTCATGTAAAGAATGTGTTTCCATTCCGTTCATTTACAGCAAGGTCAGTTACCAAGTTCTGGCAAACTCTTCCACATTTTGTGATAGTTTTTTTTTTTTTTTGGTTTTTCCAGACAGGGTTTTTCTGTGTAGCTTTGGAGCCTGTCCTGGAACTCACTCCGTAGCCCAGGCTGGCCTCGAACTCACAGAATCCACCTGGCTCTGCCTCCTGAGTGCTGGGATTAAAGGCGTGCGCCGCCACTGCCACCACCACCGCCACCACCACCCAGCTTGTGATAGTTCTTACTTCGATAGTAAAGCGGGCAGTTGAGAGCATCTCAGGTGGAGGTGGAGAACTTGGGCAGGCACCTGCCGGAGCAGGATTTCTCCTGTTGGAATTCTCCTTATGTCTGATCTCCCAGTCCTATTTGTGCTCCTTTCCCTACAAAACACAGAGAAAGCGCTAAATGATTGTCCTCTTAGTGTAATACACTGCAGTTTCAACCACACTTAAGGTCTTGAAGTTACTGTTTCACTCTCCCTCCCTCCATCCAAGAGAGGCCTTTCCTTACCAGCAATAGATTTTAAACAACAAAAGAAAGAGTATGTGACCTTTGGCTAACTTCCAGAATGTTCTATAAGCCAATTTTTTTTGGTGTGAATTATAATTATTAGGTCATGAAGTCAATTTAGTGTGTCCATAACAACTTTTTGTTTTTTAATAGAAGGGAAAAAATAGTTCAGAATGTAAGAATAGAATGTAGAGAGTCCACGTCATGTACAAGGTCAGCCAGGCATGATGGCTCATGCTTTGAGTCCAGCACTCGGGAGACAGAGATAGGAAGGTGCTTCAGGTCTGAAGCCAGCTTGGTCTACATAAGGAGTTTGAAGTCAACCAAGGCTACATAGTAAGACAGTGTGGGAAAAAAGTATAAGTCAGGTACAGTCTTATCAAACTTCTCTCTCTCTCTCTCTCTCTCTCTCTCTCTCTCTCTCTCTCTCTCTCTCTCTGTGTGTGTGTGTGTGTGTGTGTGTGTG